GCCTCCGAATCATCCCTTATTGGCTACTTCCTACAACAACATCGGTCAAGTGTATAAGAACATGGGTGACTACTCGAAAGCACTTGAATTTTACGAAAAAGCACATCAAATTTTCGAAAAAACTCTGCCTCCGAATCATCCCTCATTGGCTATTTCCTACAACAACATCGGTCTAGTGTATGATAACATGGGTGACTACTCGAAAGCACTTGAATTTTACGAAAAAGCACTTAAAATAAAAGAAAAAGCTCTGCCTCCGAATCATCCCAATTTGGCTAATTCCTACAACAATATCGGTCAAGTGTATAACAACATGGGTGACTACTCGAAAGCACTTGAATTTTACGAAAAAGGACATCAAATAAATGAAAAATCTCTGCCTCCGAATCATCCCAATTTGGCTGGTTCCTACAACAACATCGGTCAAGTGTATAACAACATGGGTGACTACTCGAAAGCACTTGAATTTTACGAAAAAGCACTTAAAATAAAAGAAAAAGCTCTGCCTCCGAATCATCCCTCATTGGCTACTTCCTACAACAACATCGGTCAAGTGTATGATAACATGGGTGACTACTCGAAAGCACTTGAATTTTACGAAAAATCACATCAAATTCTCGAAAAAGCTCTGCCTCCGAATCATCCTCATTTGGCTGTTTCAAAGCATGATATTGGCCTTACATATGAAGACATGGGAGAATACTCGAAGGCCAGTCAGTTTTATCAACGTGCTGTTGATATCGCACAAATTTCATTACCCTCAAATCATCCACACTTACAATTGTATAGACAACGCCTTCAGAACGTAAAAAAGAAAATGTAACTGTAATTTTTTCTTTTCGCTTGCTCAATAAATTTATTCACATTGCTAATCATTTCGATTTTTCTCTGCTCATTTTGGCTTACCCGCGCGCGCGACAAGGGAGAGATCCCTTGTCAATGCCATAGGTACCACAGGCGGACCACGCCGGACTGGTAGGGCAATGGCCGAAGGTATGCCGTATTAACGATAGGGACCAACGACACATAGAGGCCTTCCCTAGCACTACACTGCTTCGCTATGACACGAAAGTTCCTGTCCCTATTGAATCCGACAACGTAGTTCTCTGACCCACACTAATAACATTCATAACTCAACTCATCTCATCTCAAATGTACTCATACTCATACTCATAATAACTTATCTCAACTCAACTCAACTGAATATGTAAAAAAATTTTTTTTTCTTACTTCTCAATATTGTATAATATCGAAACTCATCTAAAAAAAAAAGAAAAAAAAAGTTTTATTAAATATATAATGAATTTATTATTTACCTCATATAGAATTTAATAATATAATTATCATTGTAAATAATATCATAATAATAATAATAAACCCGGGTATATAAATACATTGTAATGCATTATAATAATACAACTCGAGTGTATAATGTTTCATAATGATGTATTCATGTTTTTATATACCCTGAGATTAATTGACCGATGTTCAAAATTTTGATTGATTTTTTATCAATCATTCCACTTTTGTTTTAATTGATTTGATGATTTTTTTTCTCGTCTGACATACATCTATATCATGTCATCGTCGACGAAAAAAAATTTTCATGTTACATATATATATAGGGTGTTGTCTTTCTCTTTCACATTGCTCGTCTTCAAATAAGAATACAAGACAAGAGAATTTATCAACTCGAGTAACTTAAAAAATAGGTGTGTTTTGTTTTTACAAAATGTGATCTTTATTTTAAGAATACCTGAAATATATACATGTCTAAATTATATAGAATAAGATAGCGTTTGTCTCTCTACTGAACAATATAATTTTTATTGGACGTCTTCATTATCTTCAATATATATGTATTTGAGAAATTTCTGAGAAATTTTTGCGTGAACTTTTTTTACGTATAGTTTTTCGACTTTTCTTTAAAGAAATGTTAGTTGTGCAAAAACTGAAATTTCTACACATTTAAGATTAATGAATTTCTTTCGTTTCAAATTATTTTCATTAGAATATAGTGCTTCTCAGGATTTATCTAATTTTCGTCCAGAATGTATCAACTTGTACATAACAAACTATGAATGATGTGTATTCACTTATATTGTCATATTTATCGATATAGTAATGAATATATAAACAGCTATGAATTCATCTCAAAATAGTCTCCTGACGATAGAGTATATCATATTTGTACTCTTTAAATTTTCAAGATTTATCGATGAAAACAAAATTAATCATTATAAACATTTTGAACAAACAACTGTAATGTAAAAGTAATATTATTTCTAGATTTTTGTACGAAACTGTATATCAGACAAAGGATTAGTACAAAAAAGAGGCATTTTTCGTTTAGATATAATGAATGTTATTGCCTTTATATGTTCCACTTTCTTAATTGAATTATTAATGAGTATTTTGACATTGTAGAAATGAAAGTGATAACTGTTTTTAGTTACCTGACAGAGTACTCTCTATGAAGTAATGTCATTTAATTAGAATGAAATGAAGTATTTTCTAAGAGAGACAATAATGATAGCAGTAGAGTATCTAATGAATGTCTTCATGTATTTCTCATTATATTTCTCTTGTATAAAAATTATTCGACAGATACAACAATTTCATTTTGTTTTCAGTGTAGATATTTAAGTTTTTATAAAAATTCGATGTTAGTTTTTTATTAGAAAATGATTAAACTATAGTTGCTTGAGAAATTGTATATTTTGTTTTTATTCAGATCTCCCATCATACAGTTGTTGGTGTATTCTGTATTTCGATTATAGGTGTAGAGTGAGGCGTTACACTAAAAAAAAAAAAAGAAAACACGCTGAATAACTTATTGGAATATTTTCTCGTTAAGGATAAATACATATTCTGACGAATATTCGTTTTCTATGATTTTCTAAAGATAATTGATATTTTTATCGAGTATTTGTGAGATATAGAGTTTTATTGTGAGTTCATTGAAAAATATCTCAGAATTTTCATAAATAAAATTATATATAGATTAATTATTTGAGTCTATAAAAGAAATCTCAGTAGTAATAATAAATAAATTAATGAATCACTTTTTTTTTTCTCATTAGACATATATACATGGTTTTTTGTTATGCTTGAAAGTATAAGTGAATCTATGAGACATAGAAGAGATTTAAAGAAAATTGCAAATCTCTTTCGAGTAAATGATATCGTCCTTATAATTTTTATGAGAAATTTCTACTAATAAAAAGACTTTTAATAAAAGATTTTTTGTAAAGTTAAACAACGAGTCTTTTGGTAAAATCCACAAATAGACGAATTCTTTATCAGTATTTCAGTGAATGTTGTTTTAATATTAACCTCTTTACATATCTTATTGAGTCTGACACTATACTGTTGTTCTTCAACATGAATATAGACAATTTATTAGTAACAAAAATATCAGTTTGAATACAAGATTCTAGTTGTTTTGCTTTTTACTTATGAAATAGAAACAATGTTTGACCTTTTTACTGTTAGAAAAGAATAATTGAGAAAGTTCGTTTACAGGAAAAAATACATTTCGATTAGAGATTTTAAACTTGTAATTTTTGTATAATTATGACCTGATAAATACTGTTGAAAGTTGTGCGTGTAATATTTTTTGAGAATGAATCGAATGAATCATTTTGTTGCTTTTGCTCTAAAGCAATCTTTTTACTTTTCTTCTTTATCTATATTTTGTTTTATTTAATATTTAATTGTAATACAGAAGATAACAGAGGGATGTGAATCTGATGAGCTCTTCTTATTAGCTCATACCTAAATGGTTTAAGGATTTAGTAGATGCGTTCATTGAATATTAAAAGATTTATCTCATTGAATTAGTTTTCTTTATTAGAATTTTTTTTCTTTTACTTTTCTACTAATATTTTTGTTTATCAATGAGAATTTTGATAAAAATTAATAGACGAATCAAGTGGATACATTAAATTTGTATCAATTAATATTATACAGTTTTTAACATTTATATAAGCCGAATCAATAGTAAAAAAAAATAGAGTTGATGATTACGAAGATGATATAAAAATTCAATTATGTATTATAGAAAGTTTTTATGGAAGAATAATTTTAATTTAGACATATACATGTACTGATCTGTCATAAACTTCTCTTTTTGTATAGCTTGTATTGTACACATTTTTCTCTGACGAAAATCACACAGCTCATTTAATAATAAAAGTCAATACTGTTATTTTTGTTTTTTTTCCTACTGTATAACAATCATATTTTGATTTACGTAATCTAACATATGAACACAAATGATGTTGTTGAACATTGAAATCAAGTTCAACATGCTCTTGAAATAAGTGTTTACAGAGATGATTGATATTGAAGTGAGGAACGTATTTATACGTTCAATCTCACTCACTCATTATTCCTAAAAACACTCAACATTTCCATGGATCATCTATTAATGTCATAAGTGTAGAATGTTTGTGATATAAGTGCTAGAATAATGCATCAAAGGTATGAGATTCCTTCGAAACACTTCGAAAAAGGCAAATTTCCAAATGATAAATCAATTATAAAAATAGCTAAGAATTCATTCGAAAGGTTTTTGTTCCATAAAAGTCAAAAATAAATATATTGATAGCTATTCTTATATGACATTGAAAATAATTCATCATTTTACATCATTGAAAAAACTATTTTTTGTTTCATCGAAATAGTTTCGTTATTGATCTGAATTAGATTTACTTCAATAAAAAAAATAGTAATGTGTTGAAACTTTTTCAAATTCATATTACATATAAATATAAAGAATGCAACTTCATTTTTTTTTCACTTTGCTTTACTTTACTTTACTTTTTGGGTAAAGTATATCTACTTTACTTTACTGAGTAAAGTAAAGTTAAATACTTTACTTTATCCGACAAAGTAAAGTGAATATACTTTGCTTTATCGGGTAAAGTAAAGTTCGAATATTTTAGTTTATTTGGTAAAGTAAAGATAAAGTGCCACCCCTAATCACGACTAATACTGACGAGATGAAAAAACCTCAAACGTGAGAAATCATCAAAACTAGTGTTAACACCGTATAAATCATCGTTGAATTCAAACTAGTTTAATTTTAAACATGTCAAATGAGAACTGATAGTTTTTAAACTAAAACAATTTGTACGTTAAATAAGGATATTTAATAAAAAGATTGGATCAAAAGCTTTTTTGGTTATGCTAAAATCAATCTTTGTTAATGAACACTAAGTTTCACTTATTTTCTCAAATTATTGTTCCATGTGTCGTAAATCTTGAGCTACAATAGGAGTTGAAAGAAAGATACAGCACCACTTTTGCTTCTATAAAAGAACTTTTACCACTGACATAATTCAAATAACCTAACTTTTTATATGTACCAGATGATTATTGTACTGCTCGGAATCAAGAATCAAAGTTTAGTAATCAAAAATAGTCTCTACAATTGTCATACTCATTGAATTATGTGTTTCTAACTTATCTTAATGGGTCAATTCATTTATCAAAAAAAAATGATAAGTTATAATTGGGTTATATCATTGCGATGAATTGTCCCGCAACGAATTGTCCGCAACGATTGTCCTGCAACGAAGTGTCCGGTCACCCCAATGATATTCTTGAGGGTGTGGGTGTGGGTGTGGCTGCGTGATGTGTGTGGGTGTGCTGCACCTCTTCCCAAACATCAATACCTACACCCACACCCACACTCACCAACTCTCCACAGCCCATACCCACACACCACACTCACACCCTTCATCGAGAATATTAAAAAACGATGATACTACTTTAACACGATTAACCTCGAATGCAAAAGTAATTGCCGATATCTCA